CAAAATGTGGTTCAAAAATAGCTTGCAGAACTAACAACACAACAGGAACATTTTTAAAAAACAATAAAACGAAATGTCCAAAATCTCAAAAATCAGGTGTCTACAGGTTGAAATGCGGATCTTGTCCTAAAATTTATATTGGACAACAGTTAGATCCTTCAAGAAACGCATTAATGAACATAATTGTGGTTTTATGATTTGCTGGTATTTTTTAGAAATTAGGAGACACCAAGTAGCAACTAATTTGAAGTAGTAAGTAGTAACAACTTTGAAATCCTTAAGCAAATTGACATGGGAATAATTATCTCTTTTAATTAGCCAATCTTGAATCACTTTGGTTAGTTTTGGTTAGTTAACCATTGTTTGTATCGAATACAAGACAAAGCTATATTGCCCTTTTTCACTCTAGAAATATACCTAGACTGCGTTTGTGTTCGTGTGTGGAAGGACCTATGGTGAAAATTGCACGTGTGTGTGTGTGTGTGTGCGCGCACAAGTACAGATTAATTTTGCGATAATTGGCCTGCACTGTTAGGCTGTGCTAAAAAAGTGAGTGTTATAAAACTCCTATAATAATCTGGCATAACAAAATTGTGAATGAAAAAACAAGAAAAGTGAGCCTATCAAGAATTCCCAGATAATTTGACAAACATTGAGTATAAAACTGCTTTTTTTTAAAACATTCTGTATACGTCTAAAACTTAAATTTAAATAAACATGTTTTTCAGAACATCGTTTCTGAAGATTTACTCGACAATAAAAAAAAAACATATCCAAATAGAATTATCAGAAAATACTAACTTTGAAGGTGACGCAATTTTTAATGGGGCCTTAATTTTAATGCCAAGTTTCCCACTAATTTCCCATTAGTAATTCAAAGTGCTGTTGCGTTTTTTTCCTTTCAAGTCGCTCTCGGAACGACAATAAACCGCCACTGTTTTGGGCGGTCCAATTTGGACATTTAATGGAAAACTTCAGTTTCCAAAGCACATTTTTACATACAATGTAATGATTCCAATATAATGAGTTTTAAGTTATAGTTTATATCGGACCCGACAGTCTTCGTCTTCATTTTTATGTCAATTTTGATCGTGATTAAAATCGAAAAAGAAAATCATTTGTCGCAGACGGTATTCAAAAGGCTAGTAGGCAAGTAGAGCTCAGGGCGCCGAAAACCTTTTCCTATAATAATATTCAGCGCATGCCCCCGCCACCCCCCCCCCCCTCCATGCAAAGAGGACCCTCGACGGAGACGCTTCTCAAATAATTGAAAATGTGGATGGGATACCGCCTCCACCTGCACGTATCAGGTCGGAGATTGCATTTTCTGATAGGCAGAACGACCTTCGCCATGATGTTGCATTTTCGGTTGAAATTTCCATTGGGGATAATTTTCGAAAGTATATTTGCCGATCGCTAACTCCTCGTGGAACATTTACGTCTCTTAAAACGATATGGTCAAATGTGAAAACTTTTCGTATGCACGTTGACTTATTAATTTTAGCTTAACCAACATATGAATAATACCTAAAAATAAATTCATATTTGGCATTCACCTCTTCGCCGCTTCGCATACTTAATACACATACAATACAATAATTGACTTGACGTTTCTATTATAATATAACGGTCTACACAGATTTAATTTTGGCAATAAACTCCAGACTAGGTATTTAATCTATACAAGAAAGCTTACTCTATAATTACCACCACCACTATTCCATAATTTGAAAATACTTCAGATTTGAAGTTTTGACAGTCATATAAGTTGATGGTTCACATTTTTGAAGATACTCAACTGAAGTTTAAAGTTTAAACGGGTCGGCGTTGGAGAATATCGAAAACAGTTGTTCTCACATTCCAAATTTTGCTTTAATGCACCACCTATGATATATTTTTGCACATCCATTTAGAAATTTTATTATTATCACTACTAAAGGACATAAAACCATCAAAATCGCTAATTTATGTGTAAAGGAAAGATCTTATATATGACTTCAAAAGTTAACAAAAGCGGTACATAAGTTTCTATCACATTTTCAAGCAAATCCAAAATAGCAAAAAAAAATTATTTTGGATTTGTATTGCCATTTTTGTGAAGTCTATAACATGTAGATTACATAGCAGAAAATATACATTGGAAATACTATATTGATTATGCTTTATTTTTTGAAAATATTTACTGGTGCGTGAATGCACCACTGGTTTTATCTGTGAAACAAAACTATGTTATTGCAAGCCTAGACAAGTCAGCGCATGTAGAATAAACATCCAAAAATTAGCGTGTTCATTAGTATTAGTTTGTGTCTTGTGCAGTGAATGTTACAGTTCGTAAAATATGGAATTTCCGAGGTATTTGACTCAAAAGGAATTACAGGCAGCTATGGATGAGATCGTGATGGATCTTGTAAATTTATACTAAAAATAATGTGAAAAAATATTTACAGAACATATTGATGCGGTCTATATTCCACCCGACGCGCATACCTTGACTGACGAAGAAGATATGAACGATAACAAGAGTTTGGGGAACCAACTGATACAGTTGGAACTTTCGAGTTACATACACCGAATGATACAGCTCTATCCGATGAATTTAAATCATGTGATCAACTAAAAAATAGGCTTTCTCCGCTTGAAATATTTTTTTATGTTTTTTGATGACGAAGTGATTGATTTGATTTTAAAGTTTTCGGTAATATATGCTCATGACAATAACCGCCATGAATTCTCGTTGTCAAAAAATGAACTTTTAAATTTTGTAGGCATTTTATTGTTCTCGGGTTATCATTCATTGTTATATATTTAGCATTATTGATCTACCGATGAAGACAAAGGAATTGATCTTATATAAAAAAATTATGAGCCACAATGATCTGTTGAATAAAAATGACGTAATAAATAAAAAAAATCTTCAGTTTGGCATATTTTTGTTCAACTTATCCATCCAAATGGTACCTTACTTTGGCCGCCATTCTTGCAAATGGGTAAGCCAGTTCGTTTTGACTTCAAGCTTTGGTGCCTTTGTTCATCTGATGGGTACCTATTTTATTCACTTCCATATAGTGGTGCTCAAAATAAACCTCATTCTGACCTTGGTCTTGGCGGTGACGTTGTCATGAATCTACTTTCTGTTGTAGATAAGCCAGTAAATCACCAAATTTTTTTTGACAATTTTTTTTCATCATTCAAACTATTTGTACATTTAAAAACTAATGGTTATTTTGCCACAGGTACTATCCGGGAAAATAGAACAAATAAATGTCCAATGGAAAATTGTAAATCGTTTGCAAAAAAAGACCGCGGATCCATCTTTCAGCATATGAATCTGAACCAAAATTTTCTATTGTCCGTTGGCACGACAACTCAGTTGTAACTGTGGCAAGTAATGTTTCTAGTGTAGATCCTGTCCAAAATGTAAAACGTTATGTAATTTTTATGTAATTGCCCAATACAATAGATATATGGGTGGGGTAGATTTACATGACAACGGAACAGAAGATTTCCCAGGTAGATTTTAAATATTACATTGCTTTGCGAGTTTTGGTTAGTTAGAACGTGTAGAATCTGCCACAGCCACACAATTTACGTTTGTAATAAATGTAATGTGCATTTACGTACTTCTTGATTTGTAAAATATCACCAAAAATGAAACCGTACGCACCATAAAATATTATGCGTTTTTTTTTTGTATCAAATCAGGTTCTATTTGGGAAACAATCTACTTTTAGTTGTTTTCTGTCGAATTTGAATTTTGTTTTGTATATTTATGTATAAATTATATGTTACATCTTATGTGCTCCAAAACATTATTTAATGTTTTTTCCCAGTGGTTCGTTTACGCACCAGTATTTTTTGTATGTTTAGAGTTTTTATTTTTTTTGACACATGTAATTTATTCTTAAGTGCATCAAAATAAGTAATTTCATAGCAAAAAGCATTTTTTTGTGCTTGGGATAATATGGGTTAAGAATGAATTTCGTGAAGGTCATCCAAAATCGGTGGTTGTCCAAGAAAACATTGATGATCTTTGGGCATTAGTTGGACCAGCATACATACAATTTTGCGTGAACATTTGGCCGCTAAAAATATTTATTCGCGTTGGATTGTCAACAAAAAAAGGCTCGTGTTAATTTTTCTAAGGGAATGCTAAAAAAATACGACTGCAGTGCTTCCAAACACGTCTATAATATCGTAACAGGTGATGAATCATGGATCTATGCACATGAACGTGAAAGTAAGCAATCGACTTTCAGAATGAGACAAAGCTCATAAATTTGTTCGTGGTATGGTAGCCTGTTTTTTTAGGAAAACCGTCCACATTGCAACTGTTTCTTTGGTGAAAGGCAAAACAGTCAATTTTGAATGGCACACAACCGTTTGTTTGCCGAAAGTCTTCGAAGAAATAGAAAAAATCAACCGCCGAAGATGAATCTCTCTCATCAGTGCAAACAAAGAACTTTTCGAGCATTAAAACGTTGATTTGATAAGCCATCCACGATATAGTCCGGGCTTAGCACCTAATGACTTTGTACAAATTACGTGAGCAACGATTTTTGACGCCGGAAGAAGCGATTGATGTGGGAAAAGTCCTTCGAACTCAAAAGTGTATTGATCATCAGGGTGAATATTTTGAGAAACGATAAAGTCGTATTTGTCGGTAGCTTATATAGTTTTTTTTATTACAAATATCGAAATATTAAACTTAGCCTTCGTATTGACAATTGACAAAAAAAGTTATGTGCCCTAGCTAATGGGGAGTTATATAATTTATCATTTTAATATCAATCCCATCACTCGCATTATTATCTGTCTGTCTCACCCCACAAAAGACAAACTACTGACTATGCCTTTAGTATTGGGAACAAAATTTCCCGAAAAACCAAAAATATAGGGCTGTCTTCACTTTCAACGCGATCCACAAATTAAATCATATCTCCCATCGTATTAACCCCTCTCCTCTCAACCTTTTCAATTTCACCCGCGAATTTATTTTTCAGGACGTTCAGGCTGGTGCTCGTCCCCGACGAGGCCGTCTTCTCCGACGACGCGGTGTTCGAGTCGACGAGAAGGCCGTCGACGACGCTCGGCGTCCCGGCGACCTACGTCGGCACCCTCGAAGGTAAATAACCCGTCCCTCGTAAATTCCCAGCTCGCCGCCGGAGCGTCTTCCGAAAACAATATCAACCCCCGCGTCCGCCCCCGGGAGGTAACCGGCCAAACACAAAAGACAAGCGGCAGCGCGTCGAGAGCTTAATTACTTAAACGCTGTAGTCTCCGATATCCGATTGAACGTTGGGAAGGGGGGGGGGTTCAGTATGTTTTCGTTGAAATGGATCGAAGGATTAGATGGGGGGGGGGGGGGGGGGAGAAAAATATAATCGCAAGAAGTCGAGCCGGAACGCTAAAGGTTAAGAGTTAAGGGCCGCCCTTGCCTAGCAACCGTCGATCTCTTTGATATCGGCTTTATGCCGTGCCCTTCAAGGACCCGAAAATTCGTAATGGTTAGTTTTAATTTTAACTAAACATCATTTAATATTAGCAATGCGCTGTTAAAAATGCGTAAGCGGACGAGACCTATTCAAAAGATATATTTAAAAGAGGGATTTCGGAGATCGCTTAAAAAAATATTCCGAAGAATCTAGTTTTTTTTGATTTCCAGATATCGATTTTGAAATTCGCGTTAATGGTAGTGTTGGTTTGTTTGAAGATAAGATCATACAGCGAAACTCCCTATAGCGAATCTCTCTATAACGTAAAACTCTGTATTATGAACAAAATTTGTACCTTCTCAGAATTCGTTACCCTAATAGTATAATTACCAGGAATCTGGTCGCCCCAAGTGTTTTCCTTTTAATAAGCGGTATATATACAAGCAGGAGAAAAGAAAAATGATGTGGGACGTCGATACGGACTTACACCGTCAACTGTATCCACGATTTGGAAGCGTAAAGAAAAAATCATTCAGACTGAAGCGGCAGGCAGTTCTAGTAAAAAACTAAGAAAGCCAAAATTTGACGATTTGGATCGGGTTCCAACAGTGTACCACTCTCTGGACCTATCGTAAAACTAAAAGCAGAAAAGTTTGCTGAACAGCTTGGCATTACCCATTTCAAGGCTTCGGAAGGATGGTTGGGGAAATTCAAACAGAGACATGGACAGATAAGTGGCGAAGCCCGTGAAGTCGACAGAAACGTCACTAATCAGGATTTGCCTACAACAGCAGACTTGACAGAGGAAGCCATATTACAACAAGCAAGAAAGGGCGAGGAAGAGCACCAAGATGAAGAAATTGATCTGGGACCACCACCAACCATTCAACAAGCCCTATATTCAGTCGAGCTGCTAGAAAAAACTTTTATATATCATGGGGAAGATGTCCCTCTCCAAGAAATGGTATAAATACAAGAAATACTAAAAGGATGTCGAACTTCCATTGTCTTTATTTTTAACTTACACAACGTTTCGGGCAGTTGTATCACTACCCGTTATCAAGTTTAAACTAAACTTAATTCTATAGATTAGGCGAATAGCTAAACAATATCAGGTTAAAACTGTATTTAAATCTGGATCAACATTAAGAAATGTACTCACAAGAACATAAGAAACATACAATGAAGGGTGAAACGCAAAAATCAGGTATCGCAGAACATGTGTGAACCAAACAACACAACATCCAATGGTCCAGAGCACGGGTTGTTTACAGAGACCAGCATTGGAAGAAGCGCAAATTTAAAGAAGTTTTCATTAGAATCAATGAAAACATCTTCAGCAATCCAAGCGTGGATATACAAACAACTTGGCAACCTCTAAGGCGCACCAGTGCTGGCGTTCAAGTTGAACAACTTCAAGCTTGACTACACCCGACTCCGTCATGGATGAGCGCCGTCGCCTAGTATATAAACCGTGTAGCCTTAGAATTAAATTTAGTTTACACTTGATAACCGGTAGTGATGCAACTGTCCGAAACGTTGTGTAAGTTAAAAATAAAGACAATGGAAGTTCGACACCCTTTTAGTATTTCTACTGAATCAGTGTACCAATGTACGAGATGTGTATTGGCATACTAAAAAATTCAAAAGAAAATGACCGATTATTTAAAACATTAAATGTAGTTCTTAAATATTTATATAAAATGTTCCTAGGTAGATGTTAAAATATGTATATAAAATAATTAAAATTTGGGAGCAATCGGATGTTTTCGGACATTTTACCGCAGTGAATGAATTCGTGTTGTTTTTCAAAAATGTACCCGAAAACTAACGGTCGTAGAAAAAGTATAGTATGGAACACGTTTGGTAAACTGTTTAAGCCACTCGTTTATTAAACACAATAACATAATAAACAAATATCGCAATAATTATTTAGATGACTTTTTGTCCAAATTTTCATTTTACTCAATTCAATCGTACCATTATACAACAAAATTTAATTAATCTAATTTATTCTTAAAAAAATACAAAAAATATGAATAATGTATATTGTGATTGTGAGTTCATATTTAATTGTCTACGACTTCTACCATAATTATTAATAATATCGTCTACAACTTGGTCATCATAAATATTTAATTGAATTGGGCTCTTGCTTATTAACAAATTTTTAAAGTTCACTGACCTTGAAGTGCTCTAAATTATTGTTAAACTTAATTCCTGTTACAATAACAGGAATAAGTTCCTTTATGATATCATCTGTTAGATCCATTTTGTATTTTTTCTACAAAAAAATCTTAAAATCGTAATCATTGTTTCGATTTAATTATTTTTTTCTTAACGACAATTATCATTTCTTATCGTACTTATTTGAAATGTAATTGTAACTTTCAAAATAATTGAATATGCTGTGCTGTTTTTTCTCTGCATAAACAACAATTTAACTCCAAAGGGAAACGTTAAAATTTATCCGGAAAGTTCGCAAAGCTCGCGCGCGGAAAACGCAGTACTGTTAATACCCCCAAGGCCGGGGATAAACTTTCTGTTATATTTCGGAGCGTATTGACGAATCGTCCGACGCTGTAGTTTAATTTCGTTCTGGCCCCGGAGCCTTGTGACGTCGCGAACGAGCGAGTAACTTCCGGGCCTGACCGTAAGTATATTTGTCTGACGGTAAGGTGTCAATTGAATGTGGAAACTCCTAGTAGTGTATATTCCACAAATGGTCATTCGTACCGTGCTATTCGTATGCTTTTCATAAATTTCCGAGATTTCAAATGGTTATTTTTAGGGCAAAAAGTGATCTTTTTTTTTCGCATATTTTCTTAAACAATGTTGATTTCTGAACCAAAGTTGTTTTTTTTTTGACACTTGATATTTGAATTTGAAGGCGGGCGGGGTCTACGACATGTCTTTTCACATTTTGAAAGACTCGTAAATTTTTGTACTATCCGGTTTTGTTTTTGATAGAAAAACCGAATTCCTCAATCATTTCAACTTAAAAAATGTATTCTTCTTATAATATCAAAATCAAAATGTTGGAAAAAACAAAAATAAACATTAAACCTTAGAACTTTGTAGTACTTTGGAAACGAAACCACACGTTTATAAAAAAAACCTCTTTACCTTAAAAGTACTTGCGAAATGTCGCACGTTTATTCACCACCCTGCATATGTTAATAGTTCTGAATAACAAACCAAATTCAAAATAAGTTTAAGAAAACCTGTGACCTGTTCTGTGGGTGACGATATTGTCATTTTATTTGCAGACTCTTTTGCCAGGGACTGTCCCTGAAGATGCACTGCCTTTCACAGTTGAACATTTCAATTTCATCTATTTACCAGAAATTGTCGAGTCTAGATAAAAACAAAGGACCGGGTCCCGATGGCCTCCCACCATATTTTATTAAGCCTTAGTAGATAGGCTATGACAGTTTAAGAATAATTTTTCTCTCATTTTTTTTCACTCATTGCAGCCTCATACAATCTTGAAAACGGGAACTTTTCCAACTTACTGGAAATCAAGCTTCATTACGCCTATCCTAAAATCCGGCGATAACTCGCAAGTCAAGAATTATAAGCATATCAGTATCGTGGGCTGTTGGTTTATCGACCAGCAATTTGGATTTCTCCCCCATCGCTCCACTGCGCTAAACTTGCTGACATTTACAGATTTTCTGCTTTAATCATTGGAAGAGGGGTCTCACGTTTATGCCATTTACACAGACTTTTTAAAGGCATTTGATAGAGTAAATCATTAAAACTTAATCAAAAAATTGCGAAACCTTGGAATCCAGAGAAAACCTGAAAGAGTGCAGATTGTGCACGTTCAGAGCTTTCAATCCATCGAAATTAAAGTGCCTTCTGGTGTTCCGCAAGGATCACACCTTGGACCCCTACTCTTGTCTGCCTGTGTGAATGATATTGCCTCATGTTTTCATCGTGCATATTTCCAATTATTTGCTGACGACCTAATATTCTATATGCCAAATAATGAGCTTCAGCAAAAACCCCATACATTATACTTATAACATAAAAGGGTCGCTTTTATTGCAGGCCTCCGTAATAAGGGATCTTGGAGTGTTACTCGATATTAAATTAACTTACACACACCAGGTTTCATCTATTGTGTTTAAATCACTTCAGATTTTTGGTTTTATTAAGCGTCGTAGTGTCTACAGGTTCCTGCGATATATAGCACTTAAGGAGCACCAAGGACTTGAGGACGTCGATTACTCGGAATTGGAAATCTTTCTCCAGATTCGTCGCATGCATAGGGGTCTTACCATTTTGTGTAATCTACTGCATTTAAATTCTCATGGACCTGAGTTAGTGTCTTTCCAGGTAGAGTTCCATCGTACTAACTATGGGCAGAGTTCTTTTCTTACTAGATCAATCGCACTAGCAAATGGCTTTTCGAACCAACTTGACCGCTTCCAGAGTGAAAAAATAGTCAAGAAAGAAATAAAAGACGTGTCGACTCCTATATTAATATTAATATCTGGAAAACCAATGTGTGTCATACTAGATTTGGGTCTTTGTATATATATTTAATTCTGTTTTATTTTCTTTTGTTGTTTACTATTTTGTTTATGATAAATAAATACGACGCTCGTAGTTTGTTTCAAAGGAGGCACCGTCGAATAGTCAGACACAGTTAAAGTTGGCAACTTAAACAACCGCTTAGCAA